TTTACGAGGATAGTGAGGCTCAAGTTAGAGTATGTAGGAAAGAGGGGAATTTTTTCCCAGTAAAAGTAGGCCTTAGACAAGGATGTGTGATGTCACCGTGGTTGTTTAATATATTTATAGATGGGGTTGTAAGAGAAGTAAATGCGAGGGTCTTGGCAAGAGGCGTGGAGTTAAAAGATAAAGAATCACACACAAAGTGGGAGTTGTCACAGCTGCTCTTTGCTGATGACACTGTGCTCTTGGAGATTCTGAAGAGAAGTTGCAGAGATTGGTGGATGAATTTGTAGGGTGTGCAAAAGAAGAAAATTAAAGGTAAATACAGGAAAGAGTAAGGTTATGAGGATAACAAAAAGATTAGGTGATGAAAGATTGAATATCAGATTGGAGGGAGAGAGTATGGAGGAGGTGAACGTATTCAGATATTTGGGAGTGGACGTGTCAGCGGATGGGTCTATGAAAGATGAGGTGAATCATAGAATTGATGAGGGAAAAAGAGTGAGTGGTGCACTTAGGAGTCTGTGGAGACAAAGAACTTTGTCCTTGGAGGCAAAGAGGGGAATGTATGAGAGTATAGTTTTACCAACGCTCTTATATGGGTGTGAAGCGTGGGTGATGAATGTTGCAGCGAGGAGAAGGCTGGAGGCAGTGGAGATGTCATGTCTGAGGGCAATGTGTGGTGTGAATATAATGCAGAGGAATTCGTAGTTTGGAAGTTAGGAGGAGGTGCGGGATTACCAAAACTGTTGTCCAGAGGGCTGAGGAAGGGTTGTTGAGGTGGTTCGGACATGTAGAGAGAATGGAGCGAAACAGAATGACTTCAAGAGTGTATCAGTCTGTAGTGGAAGGAAGGCGGGGTAGGGGTCGGCCTAGGAAGGGTTGGAGGGAGGGGGTAAAGGAGGTTTTGTGTGCGAGGGGCTTGGACTTCCAGCAGGCATGCGTGAGCGTGTTTGATAGGAGTGAATGGAGACAAATGGTTTTTAATACTTGACGTGCTGTTGGAGTGTGAGCAAAGTAACATTTATGAAGGGATTCAGGGAAACCGGCAGGCCGGACTTGAGTCCTGGAGATGGGAAGTACAGTGCCTGCACTCTGAAGGAGGGGTGTTAATGTTGCAGTTTAAAAACTGTAGTGTAAAGCACCCTTCTGGCAAGACAGTGATGGAGTGAATGATGGTGAAAGTTTTTCTTTTTCGGGCCACCCTGCCTTGGTGGGAATCGGCCGGTGTGATAATAAAAAAATAAAAAAAATAATCTGTATCCGTTCCTTCTTTCAGTTTTTGGTTGGAGTACCACAGAACAAGAATAACCTTCATGGCAAGGTGTGAATGCTAGACACAGGGTCCTGTGAGCCTCAGTACGTAGGCACTGTTTCTACAGAGAAGCTTAAACAGCAATTTACAAAGGTGCTTAAAACTGCCATTTACAGAGGAAGTTTAGAACTGCCATTACAGGGGAACTTTAAAATTGCGATTTACAGAGGAACTTTATAGCTGCCTTTTAACCTTTCTTTATGACATTGTTAACTATCAATTCACTTGCCATACATGAATCATAATGTCTGATACCTGGAGTATACCTGGAGGGTTTCGGGGGTCAACGCCCCCTCGGCTCGGTCTGTGACCAGGCCTCATGGTGGATCAGGACCTGATCAACCATCTAGTGCAAAACTAGTTCCAGTGATAAGATATTAGCTATGTATTTTTGGTCTTTACCTGATAGTAAGAGAGCACTGTCATTTGCAACCAGGAATTTTCACTAATAAGGGGTGGGCATGTTACTTAAATAGCACAGAAAGAGCTGGGGAGCCAAAATACTTCTTTGTGGAACTCCACTGTTATCAGCAGGGGTTCTGATTTCGTATTGTTGACCTTGACAACTTCTTTCCACTTGCTCAGGCAAGTCTGAAATCAGTCAGTAGAGCCTATCTTGATAGCTTGTGGTTTCTTACACGTGTTAAGGTTCACTGTATCAAACGCCTTTTGCTGGTCTAAGACCACCATGCTTCATATTTGTGTTCTTATATAATTCCTCAGGCTAAGAAGGTATTCTTTGAGTGAAACTTGTCTAATCACCAGAGGATGTTTTTGTCGTTAAGATACTTAACTACATGATATGCTGTTTACTCTAGTATTTTGGACATCACTGATTTAAAAGGATACGTGAGGAAATATTGGGACATATTAGATCATGTTTGGGTCCTGGAACCTTGATTACTTATGAAGTAATCAAGGTCCCCTCTGCAGAACACTCAGGTGGCCTCGGTCCTGCTAGATACTGGTACTTGTTATATTATATTGAGTTAGTCACCCAGATGGACCTGCCTTCTCTTTCTCCAGATTTGAAATCTACATCTGATGTTGCCTTTGGCTTCCTCCCAAAATCGCCCACAGAATGCGATGATTTCATATGGCTTTCTGCAGTAATCTGGGCTGTTCAGTTATTTTTTTTTAAAGCCTCTCCGAATTCTTGCTAAAACTTAAGTCGTTTGATGAAGTTCCTTT